GGCAGTGAAAAATTTTTTTATTTAACTTTGTATATATAATCATGCCAGTAAAATTCAAATTCCAACACACTGTTCCATCATGAGAGCCAGCGTGGTATAGTGGTTAACGTTTCAGACTAGGATCTGGGAAATCCAGATTCGAATGCTCACTCGTGCCATGGAAGCTTGCTGGGTGACCTTGGACCAGTCACATTAGTCTCAGCCTAGCCCTGACATGGATAGCCCCAGGATAGCCTGATCTTGTCATATCTCAGAAGTTAAGCAGGGCCAACATGGAGACAGGCAATGGCAAACCTCCTCCAAACATCTCTTGAAAACCCTACAGGGCTGCCATAAGTCAGCTGTGACTTGATAGCAATAAATAAATAAATCCATCACACCACTCGTGTTCTGAGCAGGCACTTGGGAGGGCTTCTGTCCTCCATTTCGAAACCCAAGAGCTGATTCTCCCAAACATCTACAATCCATTTTTGAGAGCTAGGAGTCTGCCTTTGTACTAACTTTTATTAACTAACACTAATCAAAGTATCATACAATAGTGACTGCAAGATCACCAGACTGGATGTTAAGAAACACACTACACCCCCCCAAAGAAGGTGCCCCCATCCCCCATTGTTTCCAAAGGACTGAAGTCAAATCAGAGAATCTCTGCAGTAGAAACTGAAGATTGGGGGTGCATTTTGCAAGCCCAGCAGAACCAGTGCAATATACAGAGTACCCAAAAGGACCAGTCCAATCATGGGGTGCTCAGCAGAACCCACTGCCATTGTGGCAATGCCAGCTCAATAGGACTGATGTCAAGCACAGAATCACTGTAGGGGGGAGGGCTTGAAGCTCAGCAGAACCAGTGCAATGTACAATACCCAGCAAACCCAGTGCCACTGTGGCAATGCCAGTTGGTATTAAGCACAGAATCACAGTCTAAGCAAGGTGGTGGTGGTGGGGGGGTTGGAAGCCTAGCAGAACAAGTTCAATGTACAGTGCCCAGCAAATCAAGTGCTATTGTGGCAATGCCAGCTGATATCAAGCATGGAATCACAATTCAAGGAAGGGGTGGGGGGGTTGGAAGCCCAGTAGAACCACTGTAATATACAATGCCCATCAAACTCAATGACTTCTGTTCATAATATTAACAAAGGTTTGCTACTATACTACTCTTAAATACATTCTGTCACCAAGCAGGATAGGGTTGAGAAGGTCTTGAGACCAAGAAGTGAAAGGGAAGGGGCATGGAAAAAATAAGTGAAGGGAGACAGAAATGAATGAGAAAGCACAGAAAAAGGGGAGAGAAATTAAGAGAGGGAAAGGTTGTTTTATCTTGCTGCAATACCACAAGTACTGCTTTGCAAGATCTGGCTGACCTGGGTGCAAGGAAAGGAAAAGAGAAAGGCTAGACTGTTGGAGAAGATGAGCTGCAGGCTGGCAATTACTGTAGCAGCTATCAGTGTGCTGGCTTGGTTGTTACTAAGCAAGTTTGCAGGGGAAGTTTAACTGATCCTAGAGTATTTTCTGCTATGCTCAGACTTCCCTGTGCCCCAGTGGCTGCAGCCAGAACTGCTTTTTAAAAATAAAAGGAAGACATTTGGCTGGATGCAGCACGATGCTAGCTTCAAGGGCCCTCTTTAAAGGCCTTTCTCAAGCTGTGCCCAGGGTGGACTGCATCCCCCACCCTGCCCTTGGTACGCCACTAATATTGACTGCTACTTTAAATACTCTGTAGTGAAATATTTGCAATGATAATAGGGTTACTAGGCAAGGCACAGGAACCAGCAGGAGAACAGGAGGTGGAGGAATTGCCAGAAGCTCTATGGTGATTCCTAAAGAGCACTGACTCCACTTCTGAGTTCTCCTCAGAAGTGACATTATGCTGTAGGCCCAACAGCTGTTTTTTAAAAATGTGTGTCCTGCTGCTGCTCTGAGCAGTAGCAGGAAACCAGAGCTAGGGGTGGGGTGTGCCCCACCCCCAGGGGGCTCCTGGCAGCCATGAATGATAATAAATTGACATAAAGTGGAGTTTTAAAGTGGCAATACTAACATAGTAAAATTCTTTTTCTCTGGTAGGAGGAGATGGAAACATCTCTACATAAAGTCAGACTGTTGAGTTTGTTCACTCAGCAACGATGGGGGAAGACTGAGTAACAACCACCATATGCACATGCTTCCATTTAGATGACACTTCCATTTAGATGACATTCTTGTAGACGGATGCACTGTATTACGTTGTATTGTGCTTTAATTTAAAATTAATAAAAATGATTACAAAAAAAGAAGAAGAAAGCTTTGAAGGAATTTTTAATCATAAGGATTTGCCTGTAATTTATCAAAGAACCATAAAAGATACAGATAAGAGAAACAACCATTGTGATGAAATTCTGCTCCCTGTAAAACTATTTGGGAAAAGTAATTATTAATTTACAGAAAATTTAAAATCTAGTCCAAAGTACAGTGGTGGAGAACTGATGCAATTTCAGCTCTCTGTAGCCTTCTCCAGGTAGAAAAGATCTCTACACACAAAATGTAAACCTCAAGAAAAGTTGACTTCATAGCCGCCCTGAGCCCGTTTGCGGGGAGGGCGGGGTATAAATGCAATAAAATAAATAAATAAATCTTCAGTGTTGGAATATTAATTTAGGTAAGTATGTTACAATGTGATTTAGGTAAGTATGTTTGACTTCCAGAAAGCTTTTGATAAAGTTCCTCATCAAAGGCTCCTAAGCAAGCTCAGAAATTATGGGATAAAAGGACAAGTCCTTTTTAAAAATAAAAAGGACAAGTCCTTTTATGGATCAAAAACTGGCTAATTAATAGGAAACAGAGAGTGAGTATAAATGGGCAATTTTCTCAGTGGAGGGCGGTAAGTAGTGGGGTACCGCAGGGATTAGTACTTGGTCCACTACTTTTTAACTTGTTCATTAATGATTTGGAGTTGGGAGTAAGCAGTGAAGTGGCTAAATTTGCGGATGATACGAAGTTGTTCGGGGTAGTGAAAACCAGTGAAGATTGTGAGGCACTCCAAAGGGATCTGTCAAGGATGGGCAAGTGGGCGTCAACATGGCAAATGGGGTTCAATGTGGCCAAGTGCAAGGTGATGCACATTGGAGCCAAAAATCCTAAATATAAATACACATTGATGGGGTCTGAACTGGCAGAGACTGAGCAAGAGAGAGATCTTGGAGTTGTAGTAGATAACTCACTGAAAATGTCGAGACAGTGTGTGACTGCAATAAAAAAAGCCAATGTTATGCTGGGGATTATTAGGAAGGGTATTGAAAACAGATCAGCCAATATAATAATGCCCCTATATAAATCAATGGTGAGACCTCATTTGGAATACTGTGTGCAATTCTGGTCACCACACCTTAAAAAGGATATTATAGCTTTGGAAAAAGTGCAGAAAAGGGCAACTCGAATGATAAAAGGGTTGGAACACTTTCCCTATGAGGAAAGGTTAAAGCGCTTAGGGCTCTTTAGCTTGGAGAAAAGACGACTGAGGGGTGACATGATCGAGGTTAGTCGGATTTGACTGGCTTTCGAGCAAGGGAAACCTTTATGTTATAATGTACGGTGGCTACAATATATCAAACTGTGCTTTTAAAAGCCTCCATAGCTCACAAGATGATGGTTATTTCCTTACCGTATAGTACAGGAGAAGACATTCTGTTCTTTTGAGGGCCACCATTCCCATATGATATTTGTATAAAAAGTGGAGGGTTTTATTGGTGGTTCCATATAAATCAGTGAAGGTACCACCACTTGCTGTCAGCCTGGAGCACACCCTTTTCTTTCCTTTCCTGTGCTGAGAATTGCAGTCAAACACTAAAACTGTGGCATATGAATCTAAGTATGTGGGTTAATTGTTATTATTCCCCCCCCCCAAACTGGGATTCTAAACTTTGATTAAACACTGGTTTAGGGTCACACTTGGTGTGGGTTCGTGTGTGTGGGACTAACTTTGATTAAACTGCATACCTGCAATCATCATAACAAATAGCTATAGTTAGTGTGTAGTTAATGCCTAAGAAAGGGGGGACATATGCAAGGCACATATTCAAGCCCAGCACCAAGCTGGGTTTATGTATCTGTTACCTTTACCACAGTTACCTACAATGTCTGAATGTAGCCTAACAGTACAAAGATTGCATGGGAGAGGGGCACTGAATCCTCCCCCTTTCCCATCTCTCTTTCTTCCCTTATCTTCCCACAGTTGGTAGCTACAATAATACAAGTAAGCTGGGAACCGAGAAAAAAGGCTGAAGAAACTGGACTGAGGGCAGATAAGAACATAAGAGAAGCCAATGTTGGATCAGGCCAATGGCCCATCCAGTCCAAGACTCTGTCACACAGTGGCCAAAAATACCAGGTGCCATCAGGAGGTCCAGCAGTGGGGCCAGGACACTAGAAGCCCTCCCACTGTTGCCCCCCCCCAGCACCAAGAATACAGAACATCACTTGCCCCAGAGTTCCTATCTACACCTTGTGGATCTCTGCTCCTTATGTTTATCTAATTACCTCTTGAAGCCATCCATGCTTGTAGCCACCTCCTGTGGCAGTGAATTCCATGTGTTGATCACTCTTAGGGTGAAGAAGTACATAAGACATATGAAGGGGAAGATTCATAAGCTCTCTCAACCTCCATCCTTCTTTATACGTGAATGAGATGGACATGAGATGGACATGTGAAAGGAAACATGCCAGCCACTACCACATCTAGTTTGTATCTAATGTATTTGAAAATGTTAGATGTGGAGAAGTGTCAGCCACGTCATTAAGTAAGGTTTACCCTAAACACCCCATGTCTTGTACAACAGAACTGTTAGTCAAGAACAATATTAAGTCTCTTAACTTCTGTGTGAGATCAGAAGGAGAACATCAGGTATCTGGGCTGAAGAGCTGTCTATTTACTACAGCTAAATGAAAATGTAAACGTTCACCAGTACATCTGGCATTTTAAAGATGAATATACATACACATCTGGAAATTCTGATGTGAGAGTAACTTACCTTGTGTAGCAATATAGTGGTTTGGTCTGTGATAACCCTGAAATAAATTTTCAAAAAAGCATTTTGCATCAGATTGGGACAATCTATCACAGGTAGGAAATTAATGCCATAAATATAAATGCACTTACTACTGAATGTTACAATATTTAAAAATATTAAGGGTAAAAGTCTGGTTATTTCAACATGACAGCAGTTATGCTTAGCATTTATACAGCACCTTCAGGTTCCAAGTACTTCACACACCTCTTGCTGTAATCCTCACAAATATCTATATGGTGGGCTAGTATATTACCCAGTGTTGTAGATGGAAGGCTGTGACTGATTGGGAGTAGTAAGATTAAAATTTGTGGCAGAAATGAAATTTGAATTAGGAACGTGGCTCATTCTCTTAGACACTCAGCTAAACCAGATTCCATTCCAGATAGGTCAGAGGAGCTGACTGTTTCTATACTACATAGCTGAGGAAAAAATACAGAAGTTATATTCTACAAGGGTCTGCTTCTTCTTTTCAAGATGGAGATAATCTTTTTTTGGGGGGGAGTCTGAAATTTTAAAGGATATTGTGCTTACCACATTTGATAGGTTTCAGCTGACCCTTGCTGATTCAGTTAAAAGCCTAGGAGTTACACTGGACCAAGCATTATTGCTGGGGAAGCAAGTTAATGCAACTGCACAAAATGCTTTCTTCCACCTTCATTTATCCTTGAAGATGGCTCCCTACCTTGATTCAGCCAATCTGGCCACATGGATCCATTCCACAGTGACCACGAGAGTCGACTATTGTAATGCAGTCTATGTAGATCTGCCACTGAAGTCAGCTTGGAAACTCCAGCTAGTACAGATGGCTGCAGCTTGGTTACTGTCAGGAGCTTGGCAGAGTAGGCATATTACACTAAAGTCAGTCCACTGGCTACCTGTCAGTTACCAGGTTCAATTCAAAGTACTGGTTATCACCAACAAAATCCTTCATGGCCTTGGACCCCATGTCTGCAGGACTGCCTCTTTTGTTATGCTCTGCCACGACAGGTTTAGTCATTTGAGCAAAGCCTTCTGCAGGTACCACTCTGCAAATGGGTAAGATTGACAGCTCCTTGTACACATGCTTTGTCTGTCATGGCTCCCACTTTATGGAATGGCCTGCTGAGGCAGTCAGGAAGGCCCCCACAATTCTGTCATTTTGCAAACTATATAAAAATTGTTCTAGAGGGCATTTCTATAAAGGGAATGAGACTGTAGTATAACAGAATGGAGGGTGCTTTTATAAAGGGAACAGGATGGCAGTCCTATTCTATTCTATTCTATTCTATTCTATTCTATTCTATTCTATTCTATTCTATTCTATTCTATTCTATCTTGCTCTAACCACACTTTTTCTAATTTCAGTTTTATACTGTTTATGACATATCATGTCTGATACTTCTTTGCAGTGTTTCTAATTTTTGTGATCTTTGTCATGTTGATTGTCATATGTCTATTTGACTACGAGAAAGAAAGGCTATTAAACAAACAAATATAACATCAAATACATCTCTGGATCATGGGATTTTAAAGATACAGATTGTTTGTCATATGTCTATTTGACTACAAGAAAGAAAGACTATTAAACAAACAAATCTAACATCAAATACCTCTCTGGATCATGGGATTTTAAAGATACAGCAATCAAACCTCAATGCATATGTGATTAAGGTGATATGGTGGCTACTGAAAAGCAGCTTCAGTATGGTCTGTCATGTTTGGAAGATCTAGTCCAGATTCTGGTAACTGGACAATGCTGGTGTGGAAAGTAACACTAAGGTAAATGCATTCCATATTACTGGTATTATGGTACAGTAAAACAATCAGGAAGCAGTTTTTCACAGGACTCAAATATATGAATATATATGTATTATTTTGACTTTGCTGTTATTAGGAAAACTTGATGTATTCTTCAATGGTGAATCTATGCCATTAACCAAATCAAGGAAGAATTTAAAGTCATAATCACAATAGATTATTTTTAGGAGCTATTTCTGTGCTTGCATAGACATCATTTTTCTGTGAGGTTTTTTTTTTAATCCCTCATTTATTTATTTTTTGCTTTGTTTTGGAAATTTTTCTGCAAACCTTGAGGTTCCCACCGGTTTAGGGAGGCAGGGAAATCACCCTTATCTGTACCTGGCCCAATTGCGCCTCAGAGGCTATGTTCAGAAATAGATACATAGATAACTGACTTTCATATCCATTAATGCACCATTTATATATTTTATTCGAAGGTCAACTGACTTCTCCATGTGTCTGAAAATCCTTCTATTATTAGTAGTCACATTTTATAACCTTGTGACAACTGCCTTCTAGAGATAAGTCTAAATGTGCCCATGATCAATTAGTTTGTTGCAGGAGGACCACAGTAGAGGCAGTATTCTTACATATAATTTCAACTCTGGTACTGCAGCTCTGTTGTAATATTATAATTTGCTTTTGGTATGCCGCATTCAAAGTACTGACGTGCTAGCAATAAGAGTCTCAGCTTAGATTTATACCCAAATGCTAATAATCATTTACTTGTTTTTAGTTAAAAGCAAACTGAGGGATATAAACCTTAACATTAGGACTGGCAAATAAGAAAAGAGATAATTTGCTTGTTGCAATTTGGGTGTTTTTAAAAAAATTAAATGACTAAGAAAAGATCTAATTCTCTTTTATCATACCCAACAGAATTCCATGTACATTAGATAATGACAGTGTCATCACATGTCATTAATGAAGATGAAAACAATGTTAATAACATTGTTAAGATGAATAAGCTGCTTCTAGTTACTAACATGAATGCTGTGTATGAACATGAACATTTTTGAAGTTTATTGCCAGACTTGGACCTAAAATGACATTGAGTTTTTCTTAATTTTCAATTCTAGTTTTGATTTCATTCTTTCAATGTCCCCCAAAATGCTGTCTCTTGAAGAATTTATTCTAATGTAAAACATTAAGTTAACATGAAGCAGGCTGAACAAAGAAGCAGCCTTCAATAATTAAACAGTGTACATATTTAATTAAATGTCTTGCTTGCATTAAAAGTACTGGTTAATAGATACAGACTATACTTTGAAGGCTGCCTTAAACGCACAGAGATGACAAGAGATTGCAAGTCACTGTATCAGGAAGTACAGAGTTTTGTCACATTAATATGCAAACTACTCTCTTTTAAATGTGGAATTATGCCAAGCTGTTGACAGAAACTGGAAATAACATTTCTTTCGTTTACATAAGCTCCAGGAGGAAAAGTCGCCAGATAAAATTACTGGCAAGACTACATTCCAATCTGGCAATTTTAAGAAATGGCTGATATAATTTTCTTATTAACAAACCTTCAGTAGTTCTAATGTCAATTTTAGCATACATATGGGATCCCTTGACTGTTTTTCTTCATATAATTTAGCAGCTGGCATTCTCATGGCACACAACATCTATTTTAAATAATCAATAAACAAATAATGATTTTATTTGAATAATATTGTTAGATATGTTATCTAGATGAATATACATACGTCAACATAATTTCCATTGATGTAGTCAGAGTTTGCATCCCCTTCGATGAGCTGCAGCCTAACTCGCGAATGATCATCTGAAATAGAACACATAAAAATGCATCACATAATTTGAATTCCTTTCTCTACACTAAACATGAGAGTTTGCATGAAACTGCCATGCATGTAAGGGAAAACTACATGCCATCCTCCCTCCACAAGATACACTGTAGCATTACAATATTATAATTACTTTCAAATACTGGTTTATAAACGGGGGGTGGGGGAGCAAAAGCTGCAGGTACATTCGCCTGTTTGTTGAGGAATAAGATGTCCTATGCATTTGTAGTTAGCACTCTTTCATAGAAGCAAAATAAAATCTGCAAAAAGCTTGCATCCAAGAACGTATGCTGTCTTTCCCATTCCAGCCAAAAGAATACATTAGAGCTTAGAATGGAACCACCAGATTAATAATGGTTTTGAACTGATATGCTTTTGATACACGTGTGGCAGAGTCTTTTCTTTCTAGATCATTGATTCATATTGGTTTATTTACTTCATTTATACTCTTCTTCCCACCCACCCCGGTGGGATAACCAAGGAGGCTTCCATCCTTTTTCACTCCTCCATTTTGTCCTCACAACTACCATGTGAAGTTAGGCTGAGAGAGCATGACTGGCCCAGCAAGCTTCAGCGGCACAGTGGGGATTCAAACTGGGGTTGCCCAGATCCTAGTCTGACACTCTTCTAACCACTATACCACTGGTTCTCCACACAGATCACTGTCGTGGTTGACTTGTACTTTGTGAACCAAACATTTGTGTTGTAGATGCCATGTGTGAAGCCACTTGGGAGGCAACTCCCTCTGATCCATTACCAAGGTATCAAAACATTCATACTGAGGCCAGTTCATATGTTAAAAGTGTATCTGTGAAAGGATGCTTTTCAGGTGCTGTTCCATGCGGCAGCCCATAATATGTTTCCTTCTTCTTAATACTGTTTTTGTGACAAAGGTCATAGACAATGAGCTATATGTGTGTGTCATTCACCATGTGTATCGCTTGTGTAAGAGGAGACTTTATACGCCGCATCAACTGTACAGAAGTTTCCCAAGCAGCCATCCACACAAAACCAACCACGTAAGAATCAGTCAGTGTCTTAGACTGACAGACATCTGACACTGAGTTCTTGTCAATTTAGCAATGTTTTCCTGAATCTAGCAACATGCTCCCCTCTACACATTCAGGACAGCATTCTGGGAGTGCAGAAGAAACTGAGTTTTAATTTGATATGCACCACTGTTAGCTTTGGGAAAGGTCTTCATTTTCCTCTATTATTTTCGTCATGGTCTTTTGGATGACCTGAAAACACAGTGCAGAGCAGTGCTGGCCCATGGGCCACAGTTTTTAAATCACTTTTCTAGAGAATGTGAAAGCATTTAAATTGCTTTCTGTTAATACAGTTAAGGGCAAATTCAATATTGACAGAGGTAATAAAATCAGTTGCTTGGGAGTAACCATGTGACTTGGCTGCTGGTGGGCAGATTGTAGTTTATATTATAAAAATTGCTGATCTCCACTGGTCCATAATTTACTATATTTTCAAATGTAAATAGATCAGTAATAGTAAAACACAAAATGTTACTTGTGGAGTGCCTACCACACTTCATAGAAAATTAGGAGCATTCTACAGCCAAGATTTTTATAAAACGAAACACTGGAAAAATGTAAATGAGTGTATTCTAAAAGTGCAATTCTAAACAGAGTTATAGCCTTCTTAGTCCACTGAAGTCAATGTGCTTTGTCTAACTGCTTGTACTTAATTTACTCTGTAGTTAGTTGCAGCCAGAGGTTGAGTAATGGAATAGATTCTAGTAAATACTCTAAAATTTCCCTTCCCTTTTTATTGTATACTACCTTTTGACTGAGTAGTCATTCTGTCAGATGGCAGCATTTAGGCATACTATCAGATCTGAAATACAGATTCAATATCTAATACTGGTTGCTAATAGATTATGCTCTATGAAATGCTTCAATAAATGCCTATGTATCGGCTTTTAAGTCTGCAGGACCAAGTAAGCAGCTAATTTTGCCAACTGTACTGTCCTTAGCCTGGATAGCCCAGCTTAGCCTGATCTCATCAGATGTCAGAAGCTAACAGGGTTGGCCCTGGTTAGTACTTGGATGGAAGACCACCAAGGAATACCAGGGTCACTACACAGAGACAGGCAATGGCAAAGCACCTCTGAATGTCTCTTGCCTTGAAAACCCTATGCGCTCGCCATAGGTCAGCTGCGACTTTATGGCACTTTCCACCACTACCACAACTGTCACCTATTTTGCCGAGGGTATCTATGAGGATTTCACCCTCCCCCACAGGATTGCCCTTTATCTTGTTCTTCATTGAGCAGTTCCTTTGTCCTTTTTCTTCTTTGTTTGTCTCTCTGGCTGTCCCACACAGTCGCTTGAATGTATTTAGATATACACTGACCCAGCCTAGGGAACTGAGGGGGAGACTAAAATCCTTCTTATGTTCTGTTTTGAAAATGGCACACAACAGGCTGATGGTAGTTCAGAAATAACAAATGATTTTATTTAACAGTGAAGGGAAATAGTCAGGTTGGAATCAGGTGTCAGTCTTGTGATGTGAATAGAAAACAGGAATGAGATAACTTTGTATACAAATATATGCCAGATAATTTGTCACAACCAAGTAACTATTTCTGTTATTCAGACAGCTCTTTAACACTTGAGCAGAGAGATTTTTTGGCAGTCTCTGCTTAAATACACAAATATAAGCATCTTTATCTTACAGATACTTAAGTTGATGAAGGCAGGAACATTCAAACAAGTTCCACTTTCCTTCCTTATCAACGGGCTAGGGATCATCCCCTTCTTTCAAGAGCTATTTCTCTCAGATTTGTTAGGAATCAGCTAAGCTTCCCACTTCCCTAACTCAAGATCCTTCTTGATCGTCTCTTTCAGACTGGATAGAGATCACCCCCCTTTCCTAGGAGCTTTCCCCCTCAGGCTTGAATGGGGATCTTTCTTGATCCTCTCACTCCCTTAGCCTTCCTTAGCCCAGTCAACTGTTAGTTCTTAACTGGCATTCCTAACTGACACTCTCAACTGAAAAATTCCATTTGAATCCCCTGTCACTCATGGTTCTCAAACCAGGTTATAGCATTAACCATTTACTGTCCATCACAATTTCAAAAGCCCTTTTGGTATATAGTTTGTGTGTATATTCTCATAAACCTTTCTCAAGACACATTCTAGATGGTGGCCTTTCAAATAAATAGCATAAAGCAATTTGTAGGATGAATTATGCATTCTACATATTATTCGTGCATATTATTTATATGATACCTAGAAGTATTAAGATAAAATCATGGCATTCCATCTCTTTCGTTCTTTTTAAAGTTTTCTTGTTGCTCTTAGATTATGGGTAATATCTTCTCTGAAAATCCTGTTTGTGCTGACAGCTCAATCCACAAAACATGTTCAGCTCAGGTCCCATTGGAATGTAGGAGGTTTGCACAGCTCAAGATTAGTTCCAAGATTGCAAACTGTTTTTTTTTTCTACCTTGTGCTCTTCTGTAAGCGGATTTGGCTGGAAAAATGCTGATATTTGTACAATCTCCTACTCTATATAGCTTTGGTTATTTAGTAAACAATCCTGCAAAAAACTGGTTGACTTCCTTAGCTGTCCTGACTCTGTAATACAAACAGGAATTAAAATATGTAAATACCTTTTCACCAAAGCAGCATAAGAAGGATTACAGTGTTTCAGAAACACAAAGTAACAACAAAGACACTGTAATAAGATGCTAAATAAAATAAAATTCTAATTATACTTAATTTATATATTGTGTGCAATTAGTTTTATAAGCTAAAGTGTACCAAAATATACAAATATTTGTATATTTGTATACCAGCATTAGAAGTCTTTGGTTAATTTACAGCAATTCTGTTACTCTGAACTGGTGCCCCATGAATGAGATTTTGAAAACAACTATTGAACTACTTTGGAATGATTGTTACCTCTCAGGCATTCACCTACCTTGGAAAGAAAAATATATTTGTATCATTATTGATACTGGTTCTCTGAAGACGTTTAGTGAAATGAGTGCATTTATACCCAGGATCCTCGTGTGATTCTTCTTTCCATGTTGATACATATTGTAATTATTTTTGAATATTATATTTGTAAATTTTTATACATTTTAGCATATAAAATAAATGCACACAATATAAATATTAAATATAATTAGAATTTTATTTTATTTCGTGTCTTATTACAGTGTCTTTGCAGTAACTTTGTTTTCACCAAAGCAAACAGTATGAGCTTAAAAATGCATTATGACAGTAGTTTTCTCTCTTTATATTTACCTACTTCCCAGAGGAAACCACATTCACTTCCTCTTTTCCCCCCTTTTTAGTACTACTTTTCTTTACTGCTTTATCATTTTGGATAAATTCAGCCGAT